CCCAAAAATGGGCTGAAAAACTCGGCTTATACTCGAGTATATACGGTATCTGAGCTGGCCGCACTGTCGGTCCGGCCGGATTTATGCATTTTTCACAAGGACAGGGTTGTTTTGCGACTCGATCCTTCTTTCATCCCAAAAGTGAATACCCCTTTTCACAGAACACAGGAGGTGATTCTTCCAAATTTTAGTCCGAATCCGTCACATGACTTGGAGCAGCAGTGGCACACACTGGACGTCCGCAGAGCATTACGGCGTTATATCAAGCGTACAGAGCCATTCCGTAAATCCGAAGCTCTATGGGTATCCTTCCGGCCTGGCACTCTAGGACAGAAGGTCTCCGCCGGCACCATTGGCAGGTGGATCCGGAGCTGCATAGGAGAGGCGTACCAGGTTTCGGCTCTGCCGACTCCAAGTCATATTACCGCACATTCTACTCGGAGTGCAGCAACAACGGCTGCATGGGCCACTCAAGCGTCCATTGAGGAGATTTGTAGGGCCGCTACATGGTCCTCGCCCTCTCCGTTCATACGCCATTACAAAATTGACAGATTCGCTGCGGCGGACGCCTCCTTTGATAGGAGGGTTCTCCAGCAAGTGATTTCCGTGGAGACAACTTGAGCCTTTTCTGTTTCCCGCCCTATGGGACAGTGAGGCTTTGGTATGTCCCATTGGTGGAGTCTCCGTCTCCTGTACTGGAGAAGGGGCGTTGGTCTTACCTGAACGCCTTTTCTCAGTACGGAGACGGAGACTCCACACCCACCCTAGGGTCAGCTAGACTGTTTATGTTAGGGTGCTGAGAGCCAACGCCTCGTCAATCTTCAAACGCTTCGCCCTCGTTAAGACTGGATTACCAGTAGGAGGGGGCGTGACAAGTTTTGGATACTTGGTCTCAAGAGCAGGCAGACAAAGAAAACCCATTGGTGGAGTCTCCGTCTCCGTACTGAGAAAAGGCGTTCAGGTAAGACCAACGCCCCTTTTTCCTTATTGTTAAACTTTGTTCCAGATGCCTAGTGCTCTACTTGTTCTGCCTATTTTTTTTACCCTTTCTTCCATTTTGCACAGTACATTCTTGCCCTCATACAAAATCCCACTTTTCAACATGCAATGACACTGAGATGTTGCTGAAATCTATTCACTCAAATGCTGCCCCAGAAGGTAACTTCTTAAAAGTAATCCTTAAAAATGACAGGCCATACTTGCTGTTTTCATAGGTATCATTAGAATACTTAAAACACTGAACAGGCTGAAGGTGCAACCTGTTTTCAACTTTAAATTGCAAATATTAGCAGCATTTAATCATAATAAATTAACTTGCCTTTTTTCCCCTTTAATGCTTTAGGTGTATTGATTATGTTCCTGACCTTCTTTGCATTCCTTCATTGCTGGCTTAATGCTTTTGCTGAGGGGCTCCGCTTTGCTGACAGAATGTTTTATAAGGTAATCGAGGCCCAAAGTTCATAGTCTTGCCAGCCTTTTCTGAAGGATTCACTACAACTGTGCAATTATACCAAATAATTGGCAAGAGGCAAGAAGGGAAAGGTACCCATTTAGAAAAAAATATATGTACTTGTGCTGTATGTACATATGCACAGGTATGCACATGTATGTGCATAGAGACAAAGAGTTACTGAGGATGCTCCCCACAATATTGCTATCCTTGAAATGCTTTAGGCAGAGATTTCATCAGACTTTTAGTGACTAGAAGGTACCATGCCTACGGATGTCACTGTTGGATTTCCTGTTCACTTGCACTGAGTTACATTTATTTATTTATTTAGACTGTCTGACTGACTGACAGGGAGACAGAAATAATTGCCATATGTGCATTAGATTATCTGTTTTTGTGAATTAAAACAACTTTGTTGGTGGTTTGGCATGGTATTTTCCAGGAAGAAAAATGCTTTGTTAGTCTTGGCAATTGCTGAAGTCTTTGAATGGCAGATGATCTTACAGTATCTTGTTCTGAATCTGCTATGTTTTCTTTAAGCTTGTAACAGTTTCTTGTGCAGCCTAAAAAACAATGATAAAAATATTTTTTGAGCTATAGCAAATCTACTTTGTAGTATTTTTCCTACAAAGATCTAATATTTTTCTAAGGGACAAGCCCTAAAGAAGCTGGTGAGATCTTTTGAAATATGTGTTCCTTATACTCCAAATGAGTTTTGTGGGTCTTCCACCGTATCTTATTCCTGTTCACTGACTATTGCAACAAAATTTGATGGGTCTGGAAACATCAAGTTGAATGCTTCCATTCTAAAGTGTTTCAGTAAGTTAGAAATTTAAGTTGCAACTTTTTTTCTTTTCTTTTCTTTTTTGTCTTTCTTTGAGTTAGTCTTAATTCCTGCGACTGCCTGGATTAGTCCCTGCAGCATTCTTGGCAAGGAATTTTTGCAAGAGGTTTGCCCTTGCCTCCTTCTTACAGCTTAGAGAATGATTGGCCCAAGATAACCCAGCTGGCTTTGTGCCTAAGGTGGGACTAGAACTCATAGGTTCCCAATTTTTTGGCTTAGTGCCTTAGCCACTGCACTAAACTGGTGTAAAGTTGCAACATCTCTCAACTTAGAGATCTGAAGATTATATTTTAGATGCTATTGAAATATTTGAGTAGCAGCAGATCCTTGATATAATGGTCCTCAATTCTGAACTTCATTCTCTATTCTTTTTTACACCTTTTTAGGACTGGTGGAATTCTACATCTTTTTCAAACTATTACCGAACCTGGAATATCGTAGTACATGATTGGCTGTATTACTATGCCTACAGAGATTTCCTTTGGGTAAGCAGCAGACTTATAAGTAATTGACTAATTATGTTGATGCCAATTCTAAGTAACCACTTTAGGTAGATTTTCTCCAAGATTTTTTATCCATGGGATTTTCTTTTTCTTTTTTATAAGAAATTTTATTAGTTTTTCAATTTTACAGTCAAGTATTTAGGAAGCAGCGCGGTGATAGGTTAGTCAATAGCCCAATAACAAAATCTTTCATACATATCTCATATTACATCATTAAAAGATCCCTCTCTATTTCCCTTAATTATTGTATCAAATTCAAGTTAATACATTTCTAATTATAGCTCAGTCATTCAATAAATTTGTCAATATAATTTTGCTTATACATATCCACATCCTGTTTTTAAATTTTTCCTAATTCCAATTACCGTATTCCAATTTGTCCTTTAATAACCATAATGTTTAAACTTCAGGTAACCCAAATTTCCCTAATTTCATTATAGAGTAGTTATGTCTAAAATACACATATTATTCAGATAGTTACATTTTCAAAAGTATATTCTATTTCTCGTCCTAGTAGCTCATCATTTACTAATAAACTGTCTTTTGTTGTCACAAACCCCTTTCCATATTACATTTCAAAACTATAACCTAATAGCTAATTTTCATTTCCTTTATAAGTCTAAATCCTGGATATTAGATCAATCAATATCTCTAAAGTTCTCCTTAGTCCATTGGGTAAACTTTTAAGCTATTCCATCATCAATCAACGATAAGGAGAAAGAGGAACAAGGAAATCCCATTTTGAATCTGACTCTAGCTTTCTTTTTGTGCCAAACAGGTTTCCATACCAGTGCCCCCAAATCCTCAAGTGGGTCTCCTTTCATTCCTACACGTTATTTGAATCAAGGGAGACCATCCAGATATCAATTTTTCAAAGGAACTGTCCTCTTTGTAGTCATTGAATTGTTGCCCTAGTAGTTCAGATCTCCCTGTTTGATTTAGAATGTTTGTCATCAGTTGAGTCAGGTCTTCTCCTTTTTCCAGTTTCGTCTGGCTAGAGTAAAAGGTCATATCCAGTGTTGTAGTTGTTTGATTGTCAACGTTGTCTAAGTTCTCAATATATTGTGTTTCCATCTTAATGTTGCTTCCTTCAGTTTCTGTTGCTTTTTGAGTTACAAGTACTTTAGTTGAAATCAAGATTTGCTTGTGAAAATTCTCTGTAGGTTATATTTGTTGTTGTGTAGAATCCTCTTTGATATTTTATTTATTTATTTATTTATTTATTTATTTATTTATTTATTTATTTATTTATTGTATTTTTTACCCCGCCCTTCTCCTTGCGGACTCAGGGCGGCTAACAGCCTAATAAAAACAATACAAAAATACAAAAAATACTATCATTAAAAACATAATTAAAAGGAAATATTAATTTGGCCTTTGTTATTTTAAAAATTATTTTAAAACCCAGCTAAAAATTACCCCTTAGGCCAGTCCTGCTAGCTGAAATAGCCATGTCTTAAGGGCGCGGCGGAAGGAAGGGAGATCCGGGATCACCCTGATCTCTGGGGGTAG